AGTATATATATATATATTTATATTCTATATTTCCTATTGGCGTCCATGTTGCAAGGCTGGGAATCTTACCAGTCACCATCTGCAAAAGCCGAATGGAAGAAGATAATTTGAAAACTCTATTACTTAAAGCAAGTCTAGGTAAAGTCTAAAAATCGATACCCGAGACATTGGTTGAGACTAAAAACCAATAGTACAACTTTTATAATAATACCCAAGGATTACCCTCCTCCCGCCCAACCGACGCGAGGGGCGCAATCCGCGAACGAGCGGAATTAGCCGAGTCATAAAATTCAAGGGAGTTTTAAGCGTTGCAATCTTAAGCTGCTCAGCTACAGAAACAAAAATTTCAATAGCCAAAACTAAGAATTAGATTAAAGTTTATAAATTTTAAATGTTACTTGTTAGGAGTAGATAAAATAATTTTTTTAATGGTAAAGAGTGAATCTGTTWGATCAAATGTGCTGGAATGAGAATTGAAATCGTGACATATACGGCGGAATGGTTCGTTTAACTCGTGGACTATAATTCCACATAATTTTGTTTTAAGACCAAATATGAGGTGCTCTACGTTTTCTTGAAACCCTTGGATCCTTAGGTCTCCTAAAATCTGATATATTCACAGCTGATTATTATGAAAATATAAATAGCTTCAAGACATGTAAAGCTACGCTTTGAAGCCAGTATTTAAAAAAATAGAAAGGGAACCGAAACTCAAATAATGACAACAGTAACATAACTACCAAAGTAAAATCAAGAAAACAACAACAAATAAATACCAGAAATACACCAAAAATAACTAAACAAATCTCTAAAAACATACAAAAAAAAAAAAAACCGAAACCAATCAACATCAACAACAAGCAACAACAACAGTTATCAGATAACAACAGCAGCAACAACTAGTTAAACAAGCAACTATTTATCTACTCGATCAACAGGTGCGATAACGAGATGCGCAATAATTTTCAGCAGCGACTGCTACTGGTCATCAGCATTTTATAAACAAGTATATGTACGCATGTATGTATGTACCCTCAGGTGTTACGTGTGTGTGTGTGTCGTTGTATGTGTGCGATTCGAATCAAAGCCAAAGATAGCAGAATACGTTGGAAAGCCGGTAGCAGCAACCGCAACAGCGATAAGATCATCAACAACAACAGCAGCAACAACGAGACTAAATATGCTGGCAGTTAAATCAGCGGTAATCCAGTTGTGCTGATCACAACTGATGCTGCTGTTGTTGTTACTGACTTTTCAGTATCAGTGTTGCATGTTATCCGTTGCAATGAAGACCACTTTTGAGTTTGTGGCAGAATTCGCTTGGTTTCAGGGTTACCTTCAAACCAGAGAGTAACTAGATATCTAATTTTGTTATTTTATTTAGTTCCTTGAACTGTGAAGTTTTTAGATATTTAAGTTCCAACTGAAAGCTGTATATTCTCCAGCGTCTCTTTCGTACCTACTCCTCAGCACTTTCCGCATATATTGTCCCTACTACCTATCGGGTTCGCATGTGATGCCAGTAGATTGTGCGCTGTCATTCGACCAACAACCATCCTGTAGTCTTTCGAAACAATGTGAGTAATAAGTATGTGAATAGCTGAGGACAGAGCCCTATAGTCATCAAACTATCGACGAGATGAATGTTTATTAATAAGACGTCGAAACGGTCCAACAATTCAGCGAATGGCACTCCAAAAGTCAATCAGAACCTAAAAACCGAAAATCGCTAAAGGCAATAGAGCCGAATCTTATGCAAGTCTATAGAATATTCAATTAAGCATTGGCATGCTGGCTCAGTGACCTGTTTTGAAGGTGATAATGAAGAGTTGAATCAAAATACGCGAAATGTTCTTTGTTAGTCCGGATGAAATTTTAACAGAGTTGCTATTTCGTCACCAGAAAATTAATGAGAGCTGGATAGGCTATGTCTCCTGGGGAKGATCCACTGATTTATTTTCTCAAACTCTTGGCCCATTTAGAAAGTAATATGAGCTACTATCGAGCCCTCAACAACTCCAGCAGTAACCTCCTTTACGAAGAGTATTGACTGCCCCACAGACTACTGGATTTAGAGAGGTTCTTAAAATGGAAGTTACAGTAACCGCAACCCTTTATAGGGTATCCAATGATAATTAGAAATTCAAAGTCCTCATAAATAGATTTTTCGAGTTCCATGGTATAATTAGCTACAATGCAAATCCCTTATCATGTAGAAAAATACAGGGGAGTCAGGGTATGTTACGAATAATATAGATGTCACCAGATTATTGTGTCTGGCACTGAACTAACAGGGTGACACAAAGAGATCGCTAGCAGCTGAGTCCTTTACTCTGAAGTTAGCTGAGTTGAGTCCCGCCTCAATTCGAGTATATAAACTTTCTAAACATTTCAAATGAAGAGGAATGCAGTGTGTTGGCCTTTGACGTTGCCCATACACTTTTTTTTGAATACGTATWCGTCAATGATCAGCGTTAGAAGCTGGGTCGATTTAGCCATGTCTTTTTGGTTATTTATATAAACGTTAGTTAGTCTCTAAGTTTTTCAAATATCGATCAGAAATTTCGCACAGATTCTTTTTTTCTCAAGTAGCTGCTCATTTATCGGAACCGCCGTTTTCGGACTACTGTAACAGCTGCCATACAAACTGAATGATCAAAAAAAATTGTTTTTTGTGCGAAAAACTCTTTTGTTTGCCTTAAACAATGGGGTAATCACCGAACAAATTGTTCAATCGATCAAAACCCAGTCCTTATATGAAAAACTCAGAGAAATGCATCAGAAATAATATTTACCGTTTTTGTTGTTGTTGTTTATAATTATTCTACACAATCATTTTTACATATGGTATGTGTGAGCTTATAGGAGAAAAAAATTGTTTAGCATTTGTGCGACATGACGTATGAGTAACCTGTTTTTACGGCACCAAAAATTCAATGAGGTGAATACAGTAATGAGTCAAAATAAGTATCTTTATATGCTCTTCAATTATTTTTTACTGTTATTTTCTGCGCTACCATCGTATTTATACATATATATATAATATACAAGTATTTACTTATCACTATATGAACATATATGTATGTATGATAGAATAAGCACGTCCAAAAAAATTGTTTTTTTTTTTGTCAAAATTTTAACCGAAAGTAGTAGACCTTCATATTTAGTATACACACATAACTAACAGTACATATGTATATATATTTATTCATATATGCATGTACTACAGCTAAAGTCAACATATAGTTTACTCATTCCATTATATTGACAAGCGTTGTATATTTTATCTCTTTTAGCTATCAATTTCACACCTCGTATGGTAAACACATATACATGTATAGTAAAAATTATGCTTATAATTAAAAGCGGAATATGTTAATCAATTCGACCCAAACGCTTAGTTAGTCAAAAGTAGCATATCTTCTAGTTGAGCGAGTACTATGGAGATATCGTCTACATATATAGCTACATTGTACTCATACATCTACTAATATTGAAGTTTACATATGTAATAATTGGAAAACGAAATTATGGTATAAAAAAGCATGCCCAATTGGAGCACTCGAAAAAAACTTAATTCGATGCCTGTTTCTGGGTAGAAATTGTGGTACAAAACCTCTAATAACTACAACTTGASGATATCAGCACAGTGATATGAAGTGTAGCTATATAACGAAATTAAGATAAGTTTTAGATATATTTTAGGTAGTTTGTTAGTTTAGTCCGATGTGAACAATTTGTGCGGAGATTGTTGCGTTGGTTTTAAAAGTAATCCATACCAAAGTTCGTGAAAATATCCTGGCAAGTAAAAAAGTTTTATATTCAAGAACTTGATTTCGATCAGCCAGTTTGTATGGCAGCTATATGCTATTTTAGACCGATCTAAACGATATATTCGGAAAATATAACATTGCTTTCGTTAATGAACTATAACAAATTTTGTGAAGATATCTCATCAAATACAAAAGTTTTCCATACAACTATTTTATTTTTATCGGTCAGTTTGTATGGCAGCTATATGCTGTAGTGAATCAATATGAACCATTTATTGGAAGTATATGGCATTGACTTAGATAATAACTCTTGCCAAATTTCGTGAATATACCTCGTCAAATGAAGAAGTTTTCCATAAAAGCACTTTATTTCGTTTGTTCAGTTTGTATGGCAGCTTTATGTTATAATGCTCCAATAACGCTGCTTACGACAAATGAGCCGCTTCTTTGGGAGAAAATAACGTGAGGAGAGTTTCAGATCGATATCTCAAAAAATGAGTGACTAGTTCCTATTTTTCTCTACTATTGATAACTACTTTCAAACTAGTTATATTTAGCATGTGTATAGTATAGGGTTGAAATCATATAAAAAGTTTAGATAAACCTATCGACATTTATATACTTTTATTTAAATTTACGTCCATACATATATACATATTTATAAATGTTAATTTGTCTCAGCTCTGTCGCTTGCTTAAATTTTCCTCACCACACCACAACGTTTGTGATCTATTTGTGTGCATATACATTCACACCTTAAACCATATTTAGATACCGTATATGATATGCGTATTTCTCTACATTTTGGTGTGAATTAATTTATGTTAATTTACTTGTAATTTCTGGTTTTTTCTTGAATTTTGTCGCGTGTCAAATACATTTGCAACGATTTTTTCCATCATTTAGTTTTTAATAAATGGAAAATTTACGACTCGCTGGCACCGAATTTGTTAATAAGGGTGAAAATTTATTCGGTACAAAAGTTTTGGCATTTAACCTCGTCACCAAGTTCGTTGGCCTAGTGGCAAGTATGTCTCCAAAGAGTTCCGTTTAATAATAAATAGTTGACGGTTTCGTGATAAAGATGCTTGTTGTCTTTGATGTTGTGCTTTGAAAGTTTGGTAAGCACTCGTTGGGAGTTTGAATATAAATACTTTCCAAAGCAAATAATAATAAAAAAGCTTAACTACAATTATAATATTGATAAAAAATAGTGTGGCCACTCACCTTAATTCACTCCATAAGTTCCTCTTCAAGTTCTCGCTGCTTCCACCTAAGCATATAAAAAGTATCCAAAGTATTTAGTAATCTCGTAGTTTGCGTTGTAAATWCGTTAAATGCTTGCTTTTAAATTACAAAAACAGCAATTGAATTTGTTAATCTATAACTGTTGGGGACATCACAATTATTTAACACAATTCAGCTCGTATCGACACAACGCGAATTTAACGCAATTAACAACATTAGCAATAAGATGCTGATTGTGTTATCGATTTGCGCATTTAGCAGACACTTCATTTTCAGAATTTCGCACCAAATCAATACACAAATATGACTTATTTGCTTTYACTAGCTATTTTGGCAGCAGATAATTAAAAACATGTACCAATTTACATACACTTGACCCGTTTGACGCCGAAATGTGTGATAAAAATTTTTAATTTAATTCTTTTTCGAAAATTTTTCTTGTATAAAAATTTTTTATTACTATTTTTTAAGTAATTTTTTTCGTTAACACAAAAACGGTTTTTTTGGTTTCAAAATTTTTTTTGTAAATATTTTTTAAAAACTTTTTTCGTAAACATTTTTTTCCAAAATTGTTGAGAAAAAAATTTTATTAACTTTTTCGAAATTTTTTTGTATTAATAATATTTTTTGTTTCTGTAAATTTTTTAGGAATTTTATTTTCGTAAACACGTTTTTTAGAAATTTTTTTTGGATGAAAAATGTTTTTTGTTTTTGAAAATGTGTTTTATGCAATTTTATTCGTAAACACTTATGCTCGAAAAATTTTGAAGAGAAGATATTAATTTTTTCGAATTTTCATATATTAAAAATATTTTTTGTATTTGTAAATATG